TTTTTTTTTTTTAAACGGATTAAGGAAGATCTATCTTGGTTTTCCATCATATTTGCTTACATCTGTTATATAATATATACTTCCTCGAGGGCGCAACAGTGATGACCTGCTACATGCTGGAATCAAACATGCCTTTTTTCAGTTCACTTGTTTTGAACTATGCTCCACACCGCCTCCTGGAGGACAACACTCACCTGAGTGAATACTTGCAGTAGCCATCTCATGTCAGTCTTCTGAGAATGCATAGGCATGTGAAGAACATCTGACAGAAGCTTTGAGTGCAGTGTATGAGAAGCCCTGAGAGAGGCGCAGGTCAGACTGTAGGCGGCACAGCACACGAGGAAGGCTGCAATACAAGAGCATATAAGTTAACAAATACACATTCTCAAATAAGAAGTCACAGGTTGACAATAACCTTGCAGGAGTCCGAGCAGTGCGTACGCAGACAGTCGTGAGTTTCGGAGCTCTCTCCACCCTTCCAGGCCTTGAACTTCTTTGGCTTCACCCGTCCACACACTCAGGATGCCATCTTGTGCTAAACTAACAGCACACACAGACAGGTAGACAAGCGAGGAAACTGACAGCCAGTGCCAGCCGAAAGCCTTCAAATACAGCATGCGGGCCTTTCCACTGCCCTAAAATTACAAAACCACATCATTACACAAAATTCACGGTTTCATAATTTTAATTTGATTTTCACTAAAAATCTTAATTTTATTTTGTGGAAACAGCAGCTCAGACATTCTTCTATAAATACATTTTGTATTATTCTTAGAAGATTTTGAAAGACATAATTCTAATTTTGAATATATATATATATATATACTTAAGAAGATAAATAATTTAAAATATTTTTTGAAGTTATAATAATTTAAAATCAGTTAAAATAATTTTTGGTACATACTTTTTGGGATAGATAGTGATCACTTTTCTCATCAGAATGACGGTGCTTATCTTTACACCTGTAAAAATCAATACATCAAAAATATTTACTATAAAGATACAGTGTACTTGAGGTAAAAGTGCAGTGCAAGCATCAGAATAACAAGCAGGTTGGATTAACAACAGCTCATTAATGTGGGATAAAAAGAAAATGTCGGCAGCCCTGTTCAGTCTTTCCCATGAGATTTTACTGGTCCCCATCATCCTGTGACCAGCAATCCCTGTGATTCTGTGCATATCTTCCTTTATTAACCTGCACTAACCTTCATGACTGAACCACAAAGGCCACTCTAGTACATAGAATAGAACACAGCATAAGAAAAGAATGATACATTCTCTCAAGGGGATCAGAAAGATATTAAAATCAGAAGCACTGCTAATGCTCTTAAATGCACTGATGTTCGTCTTGGATTAAAGCAATTGTTATATATTAATGCTGGATCTGTACTGGACAACCAAGACCGACGGTTCAGGTCACGCACTGCGTTTTACCCAATGTTCTGGACTCTGCCTAATCAAATGTCAGAGGATAACATAACATGCACACAAACATTTGTATTTCTATTATGCTGGCTGAAATTTCAGATTTGATAAAA